TGTTCCACACCCCTGTTCTTTGCGAGATCCAGTGTCAGATAGGTGTAAGAGTAATGTAGTTGAAGAAACGTCTCCTCAAGAAGATCAGAGTACATTTCCTGATGCTCTTGGAACTGCTTGCATTTAAATTACATATATGTTATTATATTTTTATAAATACAGTTATGTAGATACATACTTTGTATTTATATTTTTTATTTGTATTTTTAAGGAGGCTCCATGCCCAGCACGGTGCCCAGTGCAGGGCTTGAACTCACGACCATGAGATCAAGACCTGAGCCGAGACGGAGAGTAGGACGCCTAACTGACTAAGCCATCCAGGTGCCCCAGAACTGCTTGCTTTTTAAAACGAGACTGTTTATTTCCCCAGCTACTTTCTAATTGGACAAAGGTTGGACAGTGTAGCTGATAGAATAGAAGAATCTAACCAGTGCAGGAGAAAGTACTTGCGGTCAGCAAGTCAACCTGTGGATGAGTTCACTGAGCCTAGGGGGCTGCGGGCCTTTATCCATCGTCCCCGTGCATTTCTCCCAAACGGTTTCTTCTTTCCACAGCTTTCTTTCTTCATAGCCTAACACGCAAGTTCTCAAAATCTGCAGACATTTCTCTTTCCTGTGTGTGGGACAGTAAGGCTTTGCCGGTCAAGTTAGATTAGGCTGTGGTTTAATAACATAGTCCCTCCGTCTTAGTGGTTCGAAGGCAAAAATTAATTATTTTGATATCTCCTAAGGACAGACTGCTCTGCCCTACACCGTCCTCAGCTAGGGGCCGGGGCTAATAGGGGCTCCACCATCTGGAAGGTTCTTAGTTGCTTTGGTGAAGAAGGGGAGTCAACAGATGACTGGTAGAGAGAGGCTCCATGTGCAAGGGGCACACTTCCTTTCTGCTCACACTTCTTTGGCCACAGAAGGTCACGTGGCCCCGTCTAGCTTCAGGTAGGCAGCAAAGCCTAGAAGCAGAAGAGGACCCGGTATTGTCTGCAGGTGCTGTGCCTCCTACTGCAGTGGGTCCGAGGGGCAAGAAAACAGGGAAAACCACCGATTGTTTCTCTACCAGGCAATACGTTATGAATAACGTACTGAAGTGGCTTTAAAGCTGTGAATAAAAGTTAGGTAATGGTTGGGGGGG